GGGGGGGAAGGAAGAAAAGAGGATGGGTGTCCAAAAAAAAAAAAAAGAAGTGGGGGGAAGGGATCCGCCCGGGCAGGAGAAGCATTCTCTGAGTTTGTGTCCACCCTCTCCCCAGCCAAGTGACCCTCATACATCAAATTACATAGCAGTTTCCAAGACAGAACCTATTATCGCTAAGTTGGAAGGAAAGTTCAAGCCGTGGTCATGGAGATGAACGCTGGTTTTTCAGGTTTCTGGTGTGTTTTTTTCCCCCAATCCATCATGTTTTAACAGGTAGGATCTGGCTGATTCCATGAAAAGTTAGTGTCTTGAAAATAACTGCTGAAAAAACCAAACCATCGACCGCCCCTGCTGGCCTCGCTGAAGGGGCTTTGCACAGCGCCGGGCGCAGCGGAGGCTCCAGACCCACTGGCGAGTGGGAGGCAGGCTCGGGGGCTCTGTGGAGCGGCTCCAGGAGCGAGAGGAGCCGCTGTGAGCAGCGGGCGGGGCTCACCCGGGCAGAAACCACCGCTGCCAGGGTGCGTGACCCAGGCGGCTCGGGGTGGTGTGCGGGCACAGAGGGGAGAAGGTGCTGGCTTCGTTTATTTTCCTATCGAGCATTTCATAGACAAGCCAAGATCCATCACTTGGGTTCGGGGTGTTTAAATATCTCTGCCTAGCAAACCTTTCCACCCCGCTCCTGCCCCCTGACACACGTAGACAAGAACCACCTCATATATTTCTTTGAAGTTGTATGAGGAGCCGTAACAAGGAGAGAAAGGCTAAAAATAAAATGACGCTGCTTAAAGGAGAGGGTTTGATCTCAGAGTTGGACTGAGGTAATAGCCCAGCCCCTTTGCATTACCGATTCCTCGATCACCCTTATCTCAGAGACCGGTATTAAAACAGCCTCTTGGTGATAAACGATCAACCCGCCTGCTCTGCTCCTTAGGAAGAAAGAAATATTAAAAAAAAACAAACCTAGAAAGCCTCTATCCCGATGCAGCAAAGCACATATTTGTAGCTGCCAGTAAATCCAGGCAGCTTTTATATCGAAATGCTCCACGCCTGAGGCCAAGTCATGCTGCTAAATATTGCTGACCACTTTTTCTTTTATGGCTTTCATGTCACTTAGCTATTGAAAGTAAGATGGATTTGTACCATTTCTTCACCCTGCTCTGCTCTCCCCACACCCCAGGTCTGCCCGGAGAGGCCATTGGAGGAAGAGCGCCACGTGACAGAGGGGTGCCAATGTTATTCTCCAAGGGTGTCAAGACCCTGTCAGTTTGCGAAATAAATATTGGGAAACAACGAAATGCAAAAAGCGACCTACTACGACAGCTCTGCAATCTATGGTGCCTACCCCTACCAAGGAGCAAATGGTTTCACTTATAATGCGAGTCAGCAGCAATATCCTCCATCTTCATCACTTGTGGAAACTGAGTACCATCGCCCCGCGTGCTCCCTCCAGTCCCCTGGCAGCTCTGTGTCCCACCACAAGGCCAATGACATCAGTGAGAGTTGCATGAGGACCCTCCCCAGCCAGACTCTCCAGCCCCCCAGCCTCAGTGACCCACAGGCTCCACCGCAACCGCCTCCAGCCCAGCAGTCACAACCTCCACCTCCGTCCTCCACCTCACCATCTCAAAATGCCAGCAGCAACCCTGCCCCGGCCAACCCTACCAAGAGCCCAGCTCTTAACTCACCCACCGTTTCCAAACAGATATTCCCATGGATGAAGGAGTCTCGGCAAAACACAAAGCAGAAAAACAGCAGTTCCAGTTCAGGTATGAAACATGCTCCCCCTCTCCCTGGGTATTCCTGGGCTGGCTTTGCATCTGGTGGGGAGGAGGGTCGTCTTACCCACCTTCACTTCAGGGAGGGGAGGGTGGGGTTTTTTTTACCCTCTGAGTTGACCCCATGAAACTTTTGGAAAGGGCATGGCATCACTCAGCTTATTCACTGAGGGGAGCTAAGTGAAAAAAAAAAACATACAAAACTTTCCCAGCCTTGCAGAATGGGTTTAACTGACTTTGCTTCCTAGTGGCAGAACCACTTGTGCCCTCCAGCATCTATCACATTTCTTAGGTAATCCCCCCTTCAGTAAATCATGTCAGAGTGGAGCAGCCCAGGCCTTAAGCCAGAGGCTTGTCCCGAGTACTTTGTTGGCATGGTGCTGTTAGATTAATAAGACAGTGACCTATCTCTGCTGAAGTGTAACGGGAATAAAATAGCTCATAATCATGTGCAGGCAGGATCAATGCCCTGTGTGCAGTCAGAACCTCTTCCTATTTTAATAAGCTGATTGGCAAAGTTACAAGCCTGGTAAACAAAAATCATTCTGGAGTGCTATAAACTTCAGCCCATAAAATGTTATTTGAGGGATGGAAGTGTATATCAACGCTTTTATTACTCAAGGAAACCCAAACTGATAACACCAGTGCTAGCTCCAAAGCTCAGAAGTCAGGCTTATTCTGACTTCTTCTTTTTTGCTTAAATGTTCCTTGGAAATAGAGTTCAAAACTTTGGCAAATGTTTTGCCAGTCTGCTTTTTAAAGCTGTGGTAACACTGCTGTTTACAGCCTTCCATATAATGTATTTATTTTATTAAAAAGCAGCAACATTTAAATATATCTCTATACCTATATGCAAGCCTAGATACTGGATGTTCTTCTTTATATATATTATACTTCCCCATCGCTACCACAAGCTCATGCTATAAAACAGACATGATAAAAAAATCCATTATACTGACAATTCTATATTTATATGTTAAAATTTTCTGTTGTAGATAGCTAACTTTCAGGCATTTGTAGCTGATCTATATCGATATATAGATATATATATATACAGGTTTGCAGTAAAAAAAAGGCTTTAGGTCTTTACAGCAATGGAGAACAGCTAGTTCTTGAAGACCCTGATCCCTCTCTGTCAGCAGATCCACTGGCTCACTTTCAGAGTTTCCAGACCTCACTGTGATTCCCTGAACCTTCCTTGCTCCTCTTTACCAAACTCAAGATATGTTGCATGCTGTCATTCTTAAGGGAAGCAAGTGTAGTCGTAGAGTGACACTAGTTAGGTGAAGGAACTCTTTTGAGGCTTGGGGCTTGGTGCAGCTGAGCTCATGCCATGGGGGAGTACACGTTGCACGCATGGGCATCCATCTGGACTTTGGGAGCTGGACTCTCCATGTGCTGGTGTTGCTGGCCATTTTCTCATGTTGCCGTGTGTAGGTTCACCATGCTGATTGTGTTCTTTGTGTGATTTACATAGGTGAGAGCTGTGCTGGTGATAAAAGCCCTCCAGGGCAAGCCTCCTCTAAGCGAGCCCGTACAGCTTACACAAGTGCCCAGCTGGTAGAACTGGAAAAGGAGTTCCACTTCAATAGGTACCTTTGCAGGCCACGAAGGGTAGAAATGGCTAATTTGCTCAATCTCACAGAAAGACAGATCAAAATCTGGTTTCAAAACCGCAGAATGAAATACAAAAAGGATCAAAAGGGAAAGGGTATGATGACCTCTTCAGGAGGACAGTCCCCAAGCAGAAGCCCCGTCCCTCCAGCTGCTGGGGGTTACCTAAACTCTATGCATTCTTTAGTAAACAGTGTTCCCTACGAGCCCCAGTCGCCTCCACCATTTAACAAGCCTCATCAAAACACCTATGGCATCCCTGCATCGTATACTGCTCCTCTTAATAATTGCCCACCTCCTCAAAAGAGATACACGGGCACAGCAGCTGTGACACCTGAATATGATACTCATCCTCTTCAAGGCAACGGTTATGGGAATCCACATATACAGGGAAGCCCCGTCTATGTAGGGGGCAACTACGTGGAGACCATGACCAATTCTGGGCCTTCCATCTTTGGTCTAACTCATCTCCCTCATCCTCCCTCTGCCAACATGGACTACAGCGGGGCTGGGCCAATGGCCAACAATCACCACCATGGACCTTGTGATCCGCATCCAACATACACAGACCTTACCGCTCACCATCCTTCTCAGGGAAGAATTCAGGAAGCGCCCAAACTCACTCATCTGTAAGAGACAGGAGTCACTAAGAGGAACACCAAGCCCCCAAGTTTTGGAAAGTACTCATCCCTTCCCTTCTCTCTCCTCCCCCCAACATGTGCCCTCCCCTTCCCTTCTCGTTTCTTTTGTTCGTTTTGGTTTGTTTTGTTTCCTTTCGTAAAAGCGTTTTCTAGTTTATGTGACGTAGCAATATTTGTTGCTTGAATTGCTCTATAGTTTCACTAGTGGATATTTATCTTCTTGAACTGTAGCCTCGTGTCTCACTTTGGGAGTATGCAGAGGCTTTATACTTTACCTTCTACACTTTTATCAAAACAGGGTATATGAACAAATTTTCTATAAAAGGAATTCTTAAATGTGAATTTGTTCGTACATGATTGATCCCACGGGGAAGCAATTTTTTTTATTGCACTTCTTTTAAATAGCAAGAAAGACATCAAAAGCGCTTGGACAGGGACTTCCTGGACAATTATTGATACGTGTAAGTCTTTCAATGTGTGTATGCTGGTGAACATTCAGATTTATTTATATTTTTTTTTCGCAAACATTGAATAATCTAAGTGTTTAAAATTTTATTTATCCCCATTTGTTCATATTTATATATATATAAAATATCTGTACCCTGAATATTCAGGAGGCCATATATTAGATGGCATATCGGCACGTGTTAGAATTATCATTTGAAAGGAACCTATTAACTCCTTTTATTAAAAATAGTGATAATAATGATGATGACGATGCAATAAAATCTGGGAAAAAAGATCGCCGTTTGAATACTTTATGCTTGTAACATCCAGCTAGGCAAAAAGTGTGTGAAGCTGAAAAGGCTAGATTTGTTTTGAAAGTTATACATTCCTTGCTGCTCACGTTCTGGAAAAAAAAAAATAAAGTTTTTATTCTGAATAATAAAGAGTTAAGAACACGTTCTTTGCAGCGCAGGGGAATGGAGAGCCCTTCGTGACGTGGGGAGCTAGGAAACTCGTCTGTAAACTAACACGAGGATCTGCTCACCCGAAGGGCCCCGAGACGCCTTTTCAGCATTTCATAGGCAGGGAGAGAGATTTTCCTTTTCCCCTCCTCTCTCTC